AAAACCACAGTCTCCAGACATGTGAGACGACTCTCCCTAAAGGAATCAACAACCAGTAGCTTTAACAAAGAAACAAAACTAAATTCTCGCCGCCACGCCCCCTGCAGGTGAACGAGTCGGTGCTGCGGCCGTCCTCCCTGGAGCCGCTCTCTGACCTGCAGATGGCGGAGGAGCTGATCAAGCAGGAGATGATCACCATGCTGCACTTCGACTGCCTGCACCACCCGGGGCCCGGAGGCGCCGGGAGCCAAATGCAGCGCCCCAAGGGCCGCGGCCCCGCCTCCACATCCAACAACGCCTCACACATCTCCTACCTGGAGGCTCACGCCTACAAACCCGCCAGCAGCGAGGACATGGAGCAGGTAGGAAACTCATAAAACGGCTGACCCACGTCTGCTGGAGGTAGGGTTGTCACGATACTAACATTTTAAACTGGAAAATATTCAATACGCGATACCACAAGGATAAAAACAAAGACCCCAAAATTGAACTGAATTTTGACAGGTTAGTGTCTTTGATTCTAACTGACCTGTAACTGATGTTATGGTGGCCCACATTAATGACCCTAAACCTAACCCCAACCCTAACCCTGACCCTAAACCTAACCCTCCACCCTTCATAATTGTGAGAAATCATTTTTATTTATTTATTTTTAAAAATGTTGTTGGCTCTTGTGGCCTTTAATGACAGTAGCTTGACAGGAAAGGGGGCAGAGATGGAGAGGGGGAGATATTTTTTCGTTATACTTGTAAACTTGAGTTATCGTACAAACCTATTTAACATCCACTATTTTAACATAATATTATGTATAGAGTTTAATTAAGTGTTTGCTAGATTCATTTCACTATTTTTGAATTAACGTCTACATTGCCATGAAGCAATTAGGATTTTCTTGCCTGGGATCTTCCTATTGGTGACCTAATCAAAATGGCCGACTTGGATGTGAGGGAGTTTGATATCCATCCTTGGCTTCCTGCAGTCTGCAGCCAGACGGACTTGATTAATATTGGTGTGTTATTATTAGCCGTTAGCCACAGCTAGCAATTCAAGGCTAACGTCACGTTAATGATCATAAACAACGTAAATAAATGGGGTGGGGTGGTATAGATACTTTTGAAAATGAGTATCTTATCTGGATACGTCTTAGTATAGATACTTTTTTGAGTATGGATACTTTTGACACCCCTACTGCTGGGACTCTTACAGGCCAAAGCCATCCTGGCAGCAGAGATGGAGGTGGTGAAGGCCGGGATGGGGCACGGAGACCTGAGCATGGAGGCCTACAGCCAGGTGTGGGAGGAGTGCTACGGACAGGTAAAGGCCCCGCCCCCACTCACCTGAGCATGCTTCCTGTTCCTGAGCTGGCGTCTGAATTCTGGCCTTCTCTCCAGGTGCTGTACCTGCCCAGCCAGAACCGGTACACCAGAGCCAACCTGGCCTCCAAGAAGGATCGAATCGAGAGTCTGGAGAAGAAGCTGGAGGTGAGAAAACAGACGTTTGGTTTCAACCC